ATTTTCTAGGCATTCAAAATACTTGCATATGGTTCCATAATTCACACTTCACCGCTAATATCATACTTTATATTAGATTGTATATAATTGTATTCAGTTGTATATAATATAAATGAACAGCTATATTATTATTATATCTGGTGAATAGATGTGACAAGCGCCAATCACAAACTATCCTGAGGAGATCCAATTCTGGTGTTGATCGGTACCCCACTGAGCTGATAATAATCCTTGCATTTGATATCATGGTTACACACAGTAATGTCCCACAAACAGCTATGAAAGGAATGACAAATTTTATTTGGGGGGATTGTTGTGTAGCATTCCAGGAGAAACTCCCATCTCTTTTCAAATAGGTGCAATGGGATCTTTAAGATCCGCCTGAACAGGTTTAGCTTCTCATCTAAAGGACTGCATCATTGACAATGCTTCATGCTCCTAGAGTGTAAGTTTAGACTGAGCTCGAAGTCCCGAATTGGGTGTAAACCCACAACCTTCTGACTAAGACAGAGTGCTACCGACTGAACCAGGCTGACATCTAGATGCAGTATCTAGTTATAAAAAACACAATTAAACTGAATCCTGTTTGAAACAAGAAACCAGAGATTTCTCTTGGTCGTACACTTTGGCTTAAAATTTGAGAATGTGCGAAACATTGGAAAATACTTAAATTCGGTCTCAATTTGGAATGCGATGTTCCGCAGTTCCTTTAAGATACTGAGAAAAACAGGTTTACAGATCAACGCTGAATTTCTAGAATTTTCCAAAATGCTGCACTGCTATAAATGTTAAAATCGGGGTCTAAGGCTAAGACCATGAGAGATTTCGAGCTTCAATGAACATTGAGCAATTCAAGGCAGATGCAAGGCTTTGGCTGGCCTCTGTCCAGCTGGTCTTTTTCAGTGGCAGAATGTGGAGACTGAGTGGACAAACAGTGAAGTCGGGGGCAGAAACTGAGGAAGAATGCAGAGATCTCTCTGGAGCTGACCCACTGGCCTCTGCCTAATTAGTTTGGGTTGGAGTAAAGAGACAGGGATGACTGCAGAGAACGGAACTCACCATACCAGGGGGAGCAGGTTAACTAATTAAAGGAGTGGTATCCTTTTATTTAGTTTTCCTTTAGAAACATAATTACTTTCTCTCATGTACTATCCAAAGTTATTGTTTTTTTTAAAAAAAGGATTGAGGTGGATGACTTTTAGCTTTGTCGGAGAAGCTGGGTAGTTTTCTGTTTATTTTAACATTGACTCTCTTTGCCACATGGGTTCGGTTGTGATGCATCTCCACATCTGAATGATCTGTCCACACCTAATGCCATGGGGTGATGAATAGCCACTTGGGGGAGACACCAAAGGGTTGCTGGCACCTGTGGAACTCTGAAAAGCAGAGCGGAACGTGGGGGAGGGGGGACTCAATGCAAAAGTCACAATGTAAAAAAACATAGACTCAGCAAAGCCTTCTGCCATTGTTTCTCACCGTTTTCTTGCTCTCTCCTTCTGCTGCCTCTTGTCTCCCTCCTACTATCTGTTACTTCTATCCCTCTTTGTTAGTTCACCAGTTCTCTGGTGTTGCTTTATCTCTCTGCTACTTCCCTTTGCGCATGCGCTCTCTCTCTCTCTCTTTTCCCCCCTCCCTCCCTACTGCCTTTCAGGCTGTCTACCTATCTCTCTTTATATGCCTGTTCCTGCTGGCTATTTCGCTGTCCATCTCTCTCGCTCTCTGAGCTGTTGGTCTATCTCTTTCTCATTGCTATCTCATTCGCTTTATTTCTGGTCTCACCCTATGTCTGCTACCTTTTCTGCTCCATTCAGTCTGCTATTTCCCCATCCCTGCCTCTTCCCAACTACTCTAGTTCTTTGCTTCCTCCAACTTTACTACTTTTTGACTTTCCTGCATTCTTTCCCTCGGTTTCCCTCTCTTGCACCACCCCACACACCCCCCCCACACCCCGTCTTCCTCCAGAATTTGCTGCACTGACCATGAGGGAACCCTCGCGCACTCTTCGCCAAACCAGACCTGAAAGAATCTCTGAGACTATCAGAGAAAATTACAATCTGTGTATTTGATATCATGCCTTATATCATCAAGATGTCTCAAAGTGCTTCACAGGATGTGCTGTAAAGTGGTGTAACTGTATTTTTGTAGGCGAAAGTGGCAGCCAATTTGCACACAACAATATCCCACAAACAGCCATGCAGTGAATGACCAATTTTATTAGGGGGATTGTTGGCCAGGATACTTGGCGATACTTATTCTCTTTTCGAATAGTGCCATGGGATCTTTGGCATCCATCTGAACAGGCAGCGGGACCTTAGTGTAGAGTCTCATATGAAGGATAGCACCTCCGACAATGCAGCAATTGGGGTGTGTGCATAGACTATATGGGTTCCATGTCCCAACATGGTACTTGAACTTACAACCTTCTGACTCAGTCAAGAGTGCTGGCTGACAAACAAAATATATAATGTCTGTACAATTTGCTTCCAAGTTCTAAGGTGTGTGGCGAATAAGCTCTCTGCTTCTGCTGCCTCTTTTCTCCCTCCTCTGCTATTTCTGTCCCTTTTTGTTAGGTCACCAGTTCTCTGGTGTTGCTTTATCTCTCTGCTAGTTCATGTGCTGTTTACAGGAAGAATGTGAGGAAAACTGAAAGGAAAGATGATGGCAATAAGGCTTTTCGTTTTGACAGCTGGGTGTCTGACACATGTGGATGCCTATCATGTGGGCCAATAGAAAATTGCATAAATTTTTACCAAAAATCTCAGGGAAATTTGCCAAATTTTGAGGGCAATTGCGGGGAGTTGATTGATGTCATTAAGAGATATATTTCATCTCCAAACTACANTTTTTTCCACATTATTGAAAAAGACTAAACATGAAGAAACAATACATATTAGATTTCTTTAAGAGAACTATGTGGCCTACTCAGGGGGGGAAACACTAGCACAGGCTCAAAGGGCCGAATGGTCGGTTTCCACCCCGCACTACATTTGTTCTGACTGCGGGGCTCCAGGGGGTCCACCACCGCACACAGAGAGAGAGAGAGAGAGAAAGAGAGACACACACACACGCACGTACCAGGCACAGGGCTTTGGCATGTTGGGTTAACAGGAATAATAATCGCTATTCCCAGTGACCAGACTGCCCCGTCAAGTCTTACTGATGAACCAGGCTGGCTTGTATGAAATCAGCAGTGCCCTGGAGTACTGCCAGCCATGGGTTGCTATCTTGGGGGCGAGCAAACCTAGGCAGCGAATCCCTAATATTGATTGTGCAAATATTGAAAACACAAAGAATTAGAAGAAATATTATGCTTGGATCATGATGATGGATTTAAGTGTTATGCCTGGCCTGGGACCTTTGAATCATGAGAGAAAAGTGGAAATGATTTGATACATCGGAATTTCATTCTGGAATTATGCAGGAATTATACTTGGATCTGTTTATTCGACATAGGTCCGAAGAAATAAATAGCTTTGAAAAGCAGGGTGGGGGTAGAGGGGGGGAGGCAAAATGATAAATAAATTCTCCTTTAAGAATTTTTTTTCTGTTTTGCTTTCTGAGAGTTCTCCATGACCTCCATTTCCAAAACAATCAAATCTAAGTCTTCAATTAAGGAGGAAAGCGAAAGTTTGCTGCAGAAATTTCATAACCTTATTATTTGCAGCAAACCTAGCTTTTGACCATGAAAAAAATTCTATTGTCCTAACCCCATCATCACCTCCTTCCCCTTCCCGCAGCCCACATCTCTTCCTCACCTTCTCCTCCCAAAGGACGGCAAATTTGGAGGCTACATTTATTTTCACAATTGATTCACTTCATGTCTGAAATAGGCCCTGGTACAAAACAGGAAATGATTTGAATGGATGCAATGAGCCCAGAAGCTTCCAAGGTACACACTTGCCAGCGCTCTGGCACAGAACATTCCGGCATAAATGCAGAACAGGGATTCCCTGGAGACAAATCCGAATTTGCAAACGAAAGGAATGAAGCAGGAGAGAGAGAAGCACAGCTCCACAAAATCCCCAATATACACTTTTAAAGCTGAAATCCATTACTGTACCGTATCATGTGATGTTTTCACTTCCTGTTAACCTCTGACCTGCTGAATAAATAACTGTGCACGGTGGCTTGGCTCAGCAAATGCTGTGAATAGCACTTTATTGGACAGGATAATGTATCACTAGTGTGGAAAAATGTTACAATTTATTTTTCCAAAGAAAGAGTCGGGTGAGTCAGTCAAACGTGAATGTTGACCTTTCACCACTAAGACGTGGGATCACATCCAGATCAGATAGAAGGTCTCCTCTGACTGGGAAAGGGTGGTGCTGCGCAAGGTGGACACTCATCCTTTAACTAGTGGTTCAAGGAATTAAGGTCTATCCATTCACTCACTTTGAAGTTGCATAGTCCCACAGTCCCCAGTCTGTGCCCCTTTCACATCTACAATCTAAAGTTCAAATTTAAGCCATGGGGAGGAAATGAAGATATCCCTCTCTTTCCTCGCTTTCATTCTCCCTTTCACATTGGGATTCAGCACTACCCTGCATCGCATTATAGTAATCCTTGCATTTGATATAGCGCTATTCAGATCCTGAAGACATCTCAAAGGCCTTCAAAGGACTTATTGCAAAGTGCAGTGCAGCACCCAGCTATGTCTCACAGACATGAAGTGAATGACTAATTTTGTAGGAAAAATTTATTATTATAAATGACAGAATCGTCATCTTGTAGCCAACTCAGTCCCAAATAAACACTTTGTATCCCTGCCTTCCCTTCCAAAGGAGAAAGGAAATAATTCCAGAGGAGGGGAAAGAAGCAATCTGTTCTTGAATGAGTTTGATGTATATATCAGATGACACTGTAGGTTTATTAGGAAGCTATTCTTTCCTCTTCCCCATCCCCCTGTTCAAGTCAATAACCCCAAAGTGTTTACTTGTACAATGCACTTACGCAGTTAATCAATGTTAATCAGTTTCTTAATTCTTGCAACAAATCTCCAGGTCCTCCCAAGATCTCCAGGCGGGTGGTCAGCAGACAGTCCGTGAAGCTCGGGCGGACGATCAGGCTGCCATGTCCAGTCGAAGGTGACCCTCCGCCTCTGACCATGTGGATCAAAGATGGACGCACCATTCACAGCGGTTGGACCAGGTTCCGAGTCCTTCAGCACGGTCTCAAGATCAAGGAGGTGGAGGCAGAGGACTCGGGGGTCTATGTTTGCAGGGCAACTAACGGGTTCGGCAGCATCCATCTTAACTACACTCTCATCATCATCAGTAAGTGGCCAGCCCATAGCAAGACCGACAGACCTTTTCAATTCTCCTCCAGCCAATCTCTTCTATAATAATAATCCTTGCATTTGATATCGAGCCTGGTCAAGTCGTTGAGACGTCTCAAAGCACTTTACAAAATATACTGTAAAGTGTAGTGACTGTATTTTGTGGGAAAATCGCGGCAGCCAATTGCGCACAGCAGTGTCTCACAAACAATCTCCAAAATGTTTTCTGAGAAGGGTATCATAATGAAAGGCACAAAAGGTGGAATTAGAGGGGAATACACTCCAGTCCCATGTTTTGGGTCCTTAAAATCAGACAATGTGTTATAATAGGTATATGAAAACAAAATGGCTGCCAGTCAAACTAATGGGTCAACAGGTTTCCACTTACATCACTTCTGGCTTGCAGTGCTGTCTGGCTGGAAGGTAGAAGTGCACCACACTTCCAGGGTAGTCCACAGCCTAACTATAAATGGACTTGCAACAATGTGCATAATCCAAGCCATTTCCCATTGAATTTGTTCTAATAACAAGTAAAAGTCACTTTACACTGGAGATCAGAGTGATTATGGAATCAGCCAACATATCATTACCCATTTCCCTTTTTAAATTTCCTCAGCAGAAAGCATTAAATCACAGTGGGATACAATGTCAAGACCACCGACTATCAAATATCTCCCCCACATGACTATTATCCCTGTGTAAGTTTTCATTGAGTGTTGGCGAGACTATTGCCCGATTCTCTCTCTGTACCCAATATCCGCACACTCGCTTCATTGTCAATCAGGAGCAATCGCCCTAGCCATATATTGCCTCCCTAACCATTGAGGCCAATTGCAAGGACATGTCCCAATTGGGATCAGCTAACTTAGCACTGGCCAGAGATAAAACTTGGGATCTTCCCAGTCTGTATAGCTCAGCTGCTCAGAGTCACTTACTAAATCAATGGGATGAGTGAAAGGGGAAAGGAGAATGTGTCGGATAGATTTATGTGATGCAAGGATGAGCTCCAGGAAAGGGTTAATGAACTTTGCACTTGACAAAAATGTATCTTTCCAACCCCAAGTAGGGAGGGGAAGAAGGGATTTATTCGTAGTTAAAGTCCAGTAAATCCGAGGTTATAGATGTGGTATTGTTTTAGAAACATTTTAACATTTTAAAACAACAAAATACATTGTATACTTGACTGATTTACCATCTCCTGATGTGATGTTTGTGCAATATCCCCCCTGCCTTGATTGACGGCTTCCAGTCCCCATCCTCTCTATTCCTGCAACGTCCCCAGAGCCAAATTCAATGGGAAATGACTGGGACATTGTTGAGAACTCTGCAGGCTTTCAAAAGGAATACACTAGGGAGGGCTGAGGGAAACCTGCATTGCACGTTTTTCCTCTAGTAATTGAGCTACAGTAACACTCATTTCTGACTCCTATTTTTGCATTCACTGATTCCATGGCTGCAATTCAGAATCATTGCAATTCCCTTTCCTTAGCTCAATTTTTCATGCACTGCACCAATGTTTGATATCAGAGTCCAGCTATCAGAGTATATGAGCCTGTGAGGTCACTCAATCTGAAGAGATCTGTGGAATGAACTGGCTATGAGTTAAAATGGATTAGCACCAGTACTTCAATGGGCATTAGAATAATAATTGCATTTGATATAGTGCTTTTCAAGTAATGAGGACATCTCAAAGCAATTCACCTACTGTGTATTTTGTAGCCGAACGCGGCATTGCTCTACAAACATAGAATTATAGAATCGTACAGCACAAAAAGAGGCCATTCGGTCCATCGAGTCTGTGCCGGCTCTTTGAATAGAGCAATGTAATGTCAATCTCACTCCCCAGCCCTTTCCCCATAACCCTGCAAACCCGTCCTCCTCAAGTACCCATCCACCGCGTTTTTAAAAGTAGTTATCGAATCGGCCTCGACCACCCTTTCAGGCAATGCATTCCAGATTCGAACAACTCGCTGCTTGAAAAAATGTCTTCTCACCTCCCCTCCGCTTCTTTTAGATACTATTTTGAATCTGTGACCTCGAGTCACCGACACACCCACCAGTGGAAAGAGTTTTTCCCTTTCTAACCTATCAAATCCCCTCATGACTTTGAAGACCTCTATTAGGTCTCCTCATAAACAGCCATGAAGTGAATGATCAGAGGCCTTTGAGAAACACTGCACTATACATGCTGGACTCGATAAATGTCCCGTAAGGTACATAGAGTAACGGCCAGTCTGTAATATAGAGCTGCCTTAATATAGAGTCTTACTTTAGTGGCTGGCTCAGGGGCTGCCTGCACTTGGCATCAATATTTTCCATGTCATCCCCTATCAGTTTCAAACTCAGTAAACTTCAGCATTGAAGGCAAAAAAAACCCATCATGGCAGCTATGCAGCTGGCCTCAATGAACCAATTTCAGCATGGGTGCAATTCAGCTTTTTTGCTCTCTCCAATTTCTTTCCACTCCTGAACTTGTTTTGACTCATTTCCTTCTGCTGGAATACAGTTCCATGGGCACTGTCCATTACTTTGTCCAAGTGGCTATCATTCCTGTGCAAGGCCTTTTTTTTCCATAGAAATTTAGTGTATCCAAATATTTTTTCTAATTCTCTCGTAGCTGGTGTGTGCCTCTCTGCTCCTCATCTGGTTTCCTTTTGCTGGGATGTGGTTTCACAGTCACCCTCCTGGAACCTGCCAAGTGATCATTGTTCATATATAAACTTTGGCTGTGAATGTCAGCCGACCTCTTATGTTCTGGTCTGTTAGCAGCAGCTCTGTCCATTACACCATCAAGGCTAAACCTCTGTGCGAAGCTTGACTGTGAGTTTCAACTGGTATCGCAGCTGATTCTGATCCAGGCCTAATCCAGTTTCCATTCATATGGACCTTTTACCAAAGGGTCTCTGGATAACAATCTGGAAACCTTGGCTGTTATTCCTCCCCTTATCCCAGGGACTTTGAGGCCAATTCTATGATCCGATGCACCCCTCCACCCACCAGTGAGATCTGCTGGTTAGGCATCAGGGCTCCGAAATTCCACCTTGACTTAACCTGTAAAATATTTTGTCATAAAATCAACGACCTTACAGAATTGTTGAAAGTTCGTCAATTCAATCTTAATTTGGATGCCAGTTGTATTTAAGGACTGTGAAACACTGGAAAATTTAGACCAAACATAAAAATAATAATAATCCCTGCATTTGATATAGCACCTTATCAGATCTTCAAGACATTTCAAAGCGCTTCACAGAATATACTGTAAAGTGAATTGACTGTATATTTTGTGGGTGAAATGCTGCAGCCCATTGCACACAGCAGTGTCCCACAAACATTTGTGGGATTGAATGACCAAATTATTCATTTCTTTTTTTAAAAAATCTTTTTTTTACCCCCGGCAAAACGATCTGCCAATCAACTAACAAACAGGGTCCTATTTGCTGCTAGCTAAACAGAAATGAGTGGAAACTTGCCTAACTTTTCACCCTGCACAGGAATCGAACACATGTCTTCTCGTTTGCGAGGCAAGTGCTCTAACCACTAAGCTACAGGTCTCCAGAACTTTGTCATTAATTCTGAAACTTGAAGACAAAATGGCCTTACAGATGAAGACTTGATGGAATTTCGGAACTTTGCCCAGGGGAGTTGGGTGGGGGGCGTTGAGCCTGTGACCTTCCCAGTTAGCATGGCTCAGCTACTTAATGCATAAACCCACAGAGGAATCAGGCAGCCTATGGTGCAATGAAATCTTAGCATATTCGTATTAACAAGCCCCTCGAAGGTAATGAAGTGCTCAGTCCAGTGGTGGAAATTCATATGGTAATGAATTCTTCACATCGCCTACTGCTTTAGGCGGTGGAAAGTAAACAGCAAGTTTGACATTAACTCTATGAATCAGATGGAAATGTTTGAAGGTCAGGGAAAGAAAAAGTTCCTAGATTTGGACAAGGCTCCATCCTTTATAATAATAATCCTTGCATTTGATATAGCACTTTTCACGTCAGGAGGACGTCCCAAAGCGCTTCACAGAACACACTGTAAAGTGAATTGACTGTATATTTGTGGGCGAACGCACCACTGGTCTGTGTGTGATGAGCAAAGTACAGTAGTATCTGGGAAAATCTGCAGTACAAGAGAAAAGAGGTGGAGAATGAAGGAATGAAGGAGGGCGGTGAATAGAGTAATAAGAATAAGAATAATCCTTGCATTTGATATAACGCCTTATCAATTCATTGCACAGCAGTGTCCCACAAACAGTCGTGGATTGAGTGACCAAATAATTATTTTTTTTTGGAAGGAATTATTACCCCTGGAAAAGCAATCCACCAGTCGACTAACAACCAGGTTCCTACTTACTGCTAGAGGTGTGTGGAGAAAGGAAACTTGCCTAAGGTTTCATCTTGTCCAGGAATCAAACCTGGATCCTCTTGCTTGCGAGACAAGTGCTCTAACCAGTATACTACAGGATCCCACAAATGTGAGAGCTCTCAGAGCATTCTGTGTGAAATGGACTATGCTCTGCAGGTAGTGAATTTAATACAGTTCCGTGCTCCTGTGAGAAATAGCTATAAATTCCTTGTGCTGAGGGAGGGGGAAAGCGAAAGCACTTGTTATTTCTGTGCCTTTCACACCTGCTGTTGTGTTTGTTGAACGTGGCTGCTCCTGTCCACTGGAGCATTCGGCAGTACAAATGACTAAAGTTTCCTTCAGGCAACACAGAGAGCTCCTCACACTCTGTTGTTTGCTGTGCCTGTGACTCAGTCAGCTTATTTATACTATTAACTTTCACTCTGAATGTTAAAATAAAAAATCTGTGTCTCATGTACCTTTTGAACCCTGGACGCATTTCCATCACTCGAAGATTGGCATGGTGGTTTGGGGACGGTGGGTTTATGGGAGGAGGTATGTGTTAATCTCAGTAAAAGGTGGGTAGAACTCAAAAGGAAATTAGTAACGTTTTTAATAATGACTTTGACAGTCTTAAATTGGCAAAACTAGCACCAGGAAGCACACTTAATTCAAGGCAGAGTCTCCCTTAAGGTCTTGCATCAGCCATTTGGAATGAATGATTAGTTTATCAGCAGCCCTGGTTGC